TGCCTGGGGTCCCCCCGTGGTGACAGTGAGAGTCGGGAGCTGCCCCTCGTGCTCACCCTTCCCAGGGTTGGCAGCATCTCTGCCCAGGCCTGCTGCCCTGCCGGTGCGTGTCCCTGGGTGCCCTGCAGCCCCCAGTGCTGCTGCCTGCCTGGGTCTGCCCTGCTCCTTCTCCTGTGGTCCCTTGGTCCCTCAAGCTATTTCTGTCATCCCACCAGAACTCCAGCCCTATGAGAATCTGGATAATTACTGCGTGGTCAAGGAGACTCTTCTGGCAGAAGGTGTAGGTAGGACATGGAGTGCCCTGCCTGTGCTCCCTGACATGGCAGAGACGGGGTGGAGAGGGGCATCTGTGGCAGCGTGAACTACACACGCTGCTGAGGGTATGCAGCAGCCTCTGCCATGGGTGCCCTTGGTCTCTGCAGGTAAAGGTGGCCAGGCTGGAGAGCCATTGCCACAGCCCCTGCCTGTCCTGGAGTCCTCAGGAGACCGCCAGGGTAGTGAGGGAGAAAAAATGGGGCGGACGTCTGGGGCTCAGTGCTGATGGCACTTCCCATAGTTCCTTCTCGAGGCTTGTTTTTCCCAGGCTGGAAGCGGGACCTCATATAGCTTGTGCTGTGTTATTGTTCTCCATCAAATTTCCTCCCTCGTTAAGCTCCTGCATCTTCTGTCACAGAGCAGGAGCAGCCCAAGGCCTGAGATGACCTGCTTGTACCACCAGCAAAGATGCGTTCTGGTAGCGCTCCAGTGCTCTGGCAAAGCCATCTCACCCTCGTCTTGGTGCCTGCAAGCATCCTCTGAGACTGAAGCAGCTCACTGGGTACCAATCCCTCTTTCCCGGCTCCATAACCCCATATCCATCTAGACCCTGGCCCCTGCTAGAGTTTGGCTCAACTGCACTGCCCTCACAGCTGTGCTGCTGTGTCTGAACTACCAATAAATTGTTCTGGTTTGCAGGGTCTGCCTGCCCCATGGCAGCTCCCACTTTGTTGTGGTTCATCCCTGTTTTGTGTGTGAAAGCCCTATCTCTACGAATCTTTGTACAGGAGCTTGCATCAGGCTTTTCCAGGCCCCGGCAGCCTTGAGGAAGCATGTCTGAGCAGCCCTGTAGTCCCAGAGCTATGCTTCGGGTTGCTACTTTCCCTCTTCCCCATTCTACAGGTAGCACGGTCTCAACTAGGCCTAGCTGGACCTCTGTGTTGGTCTGTGAGCCCCTCTGTGGGTGTTGAAGCTTGTCTCCCGTTTTGTGAGGTGCAGTTGACCCTGACCCTCTTGGGAAATATCCTGCAGACTTTGGATCTGCTCAATCTGGGCTGTTGCTTCTTCTCCGGCACAGCCTCCAAGCAGCCACTGCCTCTCCTGTGCTGAGGGATTCTGATGGCCGGTGCAGCCTGGAGGTTGAGTGGCAGCCCAAAGGCTCTCCTTGATGAGGAGCACACTGCTGAGAGACCGGGCAATTGACCACTCTCCTCCAGCATTTTTTTTTTAGCCTGGGATGACCTGCATGTGCCAGTAAGGACATGTTTTGACAGTCTTTCATATGAGCTGTCTGACCATCATTGTGAAACCTGCAACAGGCCCCTGGGACCAAAGCATCTCCTTCCCATGAACTTTTGTTGGTGTGACCTGAATGCCTGATGGACCTGCTCTCGATGGGTATTAGGCAGAGAAGGGAAGAGGGAGCGTAACCCTGTGTGGCTGCTGCTGGTTGAGAAAGGGGAATGTGCAGGGTTGGGATATGGGGAAACAGAGGGCTGGTTTGTGCTCCTGCCACCTCCTGGGTTGCCCCGCTCCCCACTCCGTATCGCCATATCCAGTCAGACCCTGGGCTGTTGGCCTCGTGACTCTGCCTGCTCCATCCGGACAAACAATAAAGGCTCATGGTTTGGAGGGGGCTGCCTGCCTGCCCCCAGCTCCTGCCTGATCCCCTCATTGCCCCTGTGGGGCCATGTTCCTTGTGCTGAGGTAACGGTACCTTGTTGAGGGGAGGCCATCAGCAGGGCTGCTATGGCCTGGAGCTGTGGTTGACAGCCTTTGGGGCTGTGTTGGGCAGCTCTGATGTGCATTTGGATGGGGTGTGTGTTGGGAACCAGTAAGTGATGGCGCTCTCCCCATTTCATGCCGGGCAGGAGTGTGTCCTGTGTATGTGCTGTGGGCAAAGACGAGGGACAAACATGGTCTTTGCTCCTCTGCAGCCCCCGTGTCTGATCACGCAGCCCTTGGGGATCTGGGACATCCCAGGTGGGCCCATGGGAGGTCCTGGAGGAAAAGAAAAGCAGGAGTTGCTGAGGAGCTGAGGATGGTTTAGTAGCTCTGAGGGTTTCCTCAGGCACTCAGCTGGCACTGGAGGGCAGGGTGGTCTGTACACTTGGGGACAGAGGAGAGGGTTGCCAGGCTGAGGGGGAGGAGGAGGAGGCAGCTGGGGATGGAAGAGCAGGGGAGGATGTGAGAAGGTGTGGGTTGAGTGTGTCTTTCAGAAGGGCCAAGGACAGTTTCAAGCATCGAGGTACTCTTTGCAGTTCATGTCCTCATTCCTATCCCTGCTTCTTGCCCACTCTTTATGTGCTTGCTCAGAGGTCCTCCTTCTCCTGTGATCATTGAGGGGAAGTGCAGTGACTCATCACAACTCTAAAACCCATGCAGCGGCATTGAGAAGCACATGGATATTGCCTCAGAAATAGGAGCAGTGCTCCTTGAATGCACTCTAGTAACTAGGAGAGTTTTTTGGGGGAAATTCTGGGATCTTGGTGACAGGGATTCTTCTGTTGACTACCAGAGCCTGGTTACCCCTGGGGAAAAAAGGCAGCAAAAAGCAGCAGCACTGATGCTGATGGGAGGTTCCCTCCCCAAAGGGGAAGTCCTCTGTGTCTCATGAGGTTTCCCCATGTGTCTATTTCCTTCCTGTGGTTGCAAGTCTTGCAGTCAGTTACGGATGCCTGAGCTCAGAGGCAGCGGGTGGGCTGAGATTTCAGTCCTGCCTGGGGACTTCATGCTAGCATGGCCCTGCAGTTGCTGGCTCTGAGGTTTATCCTGGTCCTTGTATCTCTGCTGGCAGCACAGGGCCAAGAAGAAACTGATCCCAAGGTCCAAGGAGTGCCCTTGGAAACAGGTAAGAAGTGGTTCCTCCTTTTTCCTGGAGAGATTTTGCTGCTCCGCCTCCTGTAAGTTTGATATGCATCTTTACTGCCTGCAGGCCTGAGGGCTGTGTCAGCTGGGGTGCCTCCTGTCTCTGGGAGACCCCCGGGGCGAGGGGCAGGAGCTACTATGCGGTGTGGGTGCACTGAGCTGCATGGTTGGGGATGGGTCATGCCCAGCACTGAGCCAGTTTGCCAGTTATTCCTTGGAGGCCTCAGGCATGAATCAGACATGAATTCATATGTCGTAAATCAAGGGAAGGGTCTTCAGGGAGCAGGGCTACCGCTTTCTGTACACATACTATCCCCAGGTGTGCCCAAGGGACACTATGCCGGCTGAGAGCAGAGCAAAAGGGAAGTTGCTGCCACTTTGCCAGCTGGATGGGCCTGGGTGTGGGCAGCAGCTGGGTGCCGGTACGTGGGGTAGGTCGTGGCTGTGTGTTAGTGGGACACGGCTGCTGGTTGTGGTGCTCAGCTGGGCATCTCTTGCCTTCTGCAGTCAGGGGTGTTTGAGAGCAAAGCCTGACCGTAAATGGCTTGTTCACCAGCATGTCTATTCTTCTTCATGGCTATTCAAAAGATGGTCTGAACCTAGTGAGATCCCTTCTCTGCCCCCTTGGGAGAAGGAAGATTGTATTTTAAGTGCTTTGAGGCCCCCCAGGGCCCCTTGCAGAGGCTGGAATAGGGAAGTGCTCCTTTCCAGGTGCCAGCATCCCTGCCTGTAGCAATCATTGTCACAAAGCCTCCCCTTGCAGCACCCAGCAAACTGCTGGGATGGCTGTTCCTGCTCAGTCCAGAGGATGGTGAATGTGGTGAGGAGGGGGTGAGGAGGGGATGTGGAGGAGGAAGCAGGGCTTGTGGCAGGGAAAATGTGCAGGGGCTGCGGGAAAGCAGGGGATGTGAATAGAGAAGGCATTGCTCATCCCCATGTCCCACTGCATGTGGAGAGGGGCAGGAGGAGAGTAGCCAAGGGACTGACTGAGCCAGCACAGGGACCCAGAAGTCTAACAGGGTCATCTCTGATTCCTGTGGGAGGGATGAGCCATGGCTGGAGAGACATACATTCCAGCAGGGATGGTGGTGCCATGGCCCATCAAGGGCAGCGAGAGCTGGGGTAGGTGACGTGTCTAAATGAGTGTCTGGAGGGGGTCTCCCAGTGCAGGGATGATTGTCCTCGGAAGCTCCCTGCTGTGGGCTGTGGAGGAGGCAATATAGTGTACCTGGACACAAGGGTGGATGGGGGAGGTTCACAGATGAGAGGTCCTTCATGTTTTGGGTACACAAGGAGAGCCCCCTCCCAACAAGCCTTCCCTGTGGGTCATATCCTGGCAGATGGATGTGTCACCTTCCCTCTCCCTTGAGTAGCCGGATGGATTACTAGAGATTTCTTTCCCACCACTCACCCATGCCCTGCCTCATCACCTCCCACCCCAACACCCACTTTCACCTCTGCCAGAAATGTGCCAAAGGCCCAAGTGGGACTCAAGACTCCGACTGGCACCAAACCAGGAGAATTACAAGAAGAACGAAGAAGTGATGCTGAGCTGCCCTGAGGGTTTCCAGCCATCCTTCACCCATGTCAAATGTGCGAGGGAAGTCCAGTCCATCAGTCATGGGAAACCTGTACACAGAGAAGTTTGGCGCGCAAGGAACAGCAGAGGCACCTGGATCCCCATTCGGTCCCGTGTGGAGTGCCTGGGTAAGGGAGGCACCAGGATCTCTCCTGGCTGCCCCGCTCTGCCCTTGTGAACAGGGGAGGGCATGCTGTGTGTGCACAGGAGGCTGCAGGCTCTCTGTGTGCCCGGGGAAAGGGCAGGGGGCGGTTGTGGGCAGCC